GGGGGGGGGGGGACTCCATGAAAGAGAGAAAAAACAATTTTAGAAAGAGAGAGAGGAAAATCCCACCTCCAAGGAGGATGAAAGGATTTGATTATAATCTCCTAAACCTCTTCAAGGAGAGGCATGCCGAATTTCTATAGTCAATAAAATCTCCCAGGTGTTATTTCAATTGATTCTTCCATCTTTAATGATTATGTTGTTTGATCCAATGTTAATTAAGGTTGACTACGATTTGCCCCTTCATCTATTTCGATTGATTTGCTTAAAAAGTGTCAAACAACTTTTGAGTCAAACACTTATAGTATATGACTTTTAGAACATCAAGGTTAAGATGATCTATTAACAGTAGATAACTATTAATTGTAGTTGTCCTAATTTGATAATTTAAAATATAACAAATAATTGGCTAAAATATACAGATAATGCAAAAGCTTCTTAACTCTATCATTCTATCAGTTAATTTATTGGAAACAACCTTTCACCTGCATAAGGTAGGGGTAAGGTCTGCGTACATAGAAGCAAAGGCACAAGTCGAAATACGGGTTCGGGCAAACCTAGCAGCTTTTACTTAAACAGTGTATTTGATATATAGAATTCATTAAATATGTACCAATATTAAATTTAGAACTCAGTCACTAACACTTAAAATCGTCTCTAAAATCTAGAACCCATAAGGTTCAAAACCTGGCTCCGCCTCTGCGCGTACACACTACACTTTTCAGACCACACTTGCGAGAATATACTGAGTATGTTAATTCTGTATTATACGTAGTCAAGCTCTTTATATAAACCCTTATGACCCTCTTATATCTCCCAAGCGCACACTTAGATATATTCCCATATTATTATTCTCCTTTCTTCTACAAACTTTTTGTATTTATAAATTCCATAAATAATAAGAAGAAAATGTCTGGTGTTTGGGTATTCAAGAATGGAGTAGTCAGACTTGTAGAAAATCCAGGAGATCATTTCCAAGGTTGTAGGAAAGTGTTGGTTCATGTTCCTACAAATGAAGTTATTACATCCTATGCAATTCTTGAAACTAAACTATATAATCTTGGTTGGGAAAGGTACTATGATGATCCAGAATTACTTCAATACCATAAGAGATCTACAACTCATCTTATTTCTCTCCCAAAAGATTTCAAAAAGTTTAAAACCATGCATATGTATGATATTGTTGTCAAGAATCGCAATGAGTTTGAAGTTAGAGACATATGATAAGAAAGACAAAAATTACAAAGTTTATGTTTTGATAACTCATTCTTAATTAATTCTAGGTGTGATTAGTCTTTTTTTAAATGTTGTATTTTGTTTTGTTTGGTTTTCAGAGTGTTGTAACTAGTTTTTGGTACGGAATTTTGTTTAATTTCATGATTCGTATGTTAGAATTGTTCCAGATTTATGTTACTACCTATTATTGTTTCTGCTTTGGTTTTACTATTATCTTGTTGATGTTAGTGCCACCTTTCCTTTTTCTATATTGCTATGACTATGCTTGCCTGAGCCAAAAGTCTTACGAAAACAGTCTCTCTGCCTGCACAATGTGAGTAAGGTCTGCGTATATGCTACCCTCTTTAAATCCCACTAATTGTAGGAATACATTGAGTATATTATTGCTGTATTGTTGTTGGTACTTATGTTAGAAAATGTTGTACCTACAAAAAGAAATATTTGAAAGTCAGTGTAGTGTGTATATATATAGGGGTTGTTTGGAATGATTTGTCTTAAAATAAATGAGTTCACAAACGAACTACAACTGATCTTGTCTAAGCGCGCTTGTTGTATTGTTACTCATACCCCGGTATGAGTATGAATTAATCGAAATCCCAATACAAATATCGGACCCCTGATAGGAAAAGAGAAAATGATTTTGATAGCTTCCCATGCATTTAATGTACCATATTCCGTTTTTGGAAAGATATAGTCCTCGGTTTCTATTCATGAATGTATATATATCTTTTCTTATAACCAAACAATGTTTATATGCCTTCGAATTTTGTATAAATCCAAATACATTCACATAAATCAGGAATTCTAATTACTAGCCAGAGAGAAATGAAAAATTATTATTGGAACCCATTAACCTAAAAAGGTGATTAGAGGTGCTTATCATATCTGTAATCAATAGCTAGGGATGGCAAATGGGGTAGGGCAGGGCGGGGCGGGGCAGGGCAGGGCAAGCCTTGACCCGCTAAGATTTTGACCCGCCCTGCCCTGCCCCGTTAAGCCTTGCCCCGCCCTGCCCCATTTAAGTTTTTGTTTTTTCTATCCTATCCATTTTTTTATCACACTTTGCGGTGTTTTATCCCTTTCTAGATATAAGAAACTAGAATAGATTTGTAGTTAAATCTTCCGTGGCATCCTTTTTTCTTCATTTTACTTATAAAGAGCATAATAAATTAGAAATAAAAACTTAATCCCTGGCAGTTTTTTTGCGACACTGGCATCTTGTTCTAGATATATACAATTGAGTTGTGATGATTGAAACTCTTGCATTTTGGTTTATTTTCTAAAAATATTATTCTAAAAAATATAAAGATATATTAAAAAGTGTTTAAATTAATTTTAAAGTAATGAAACATTAACCAAGTCGTAACCATACATAACAGTAGTCAGTAGGAAAACTTAAGCGTCTGAATCAAATGGTAATAGCCCATATATGTTATACAGAGGCATCCCGTTAATGGCCCATATTTTAGCCAGCAAACCAAACCCAAACCTGCCCTGCCCCATTAAAGTTTTTCAAAATTTAAGTTTTACCCTGCCCCGCCCCGCCCTGCCCTATTTTAAAATTTCCCTGCCCTGTCCCGTTTGGAGTTTGCCCCGCCCCGCCCCGCCCTGCCCTATTTTAAAATTTTCCTGCCCTGCCCCGTTTGGAGTTTGCCCTGCCCCGCCCGCCCTGCCCTACCCCATTTGCCATCCCTATCAATAGCAATTGTTTATAAGGAGTAGATTCTTATTTCACTAAGGCAAATCAGGCCATCAGGGTATCTCCTCTACGAGACCATTTAAGGTGTGTTTGGTATGACGGAAAATATTTTTTTATTTTTCACTTTTTGGTTGCACAAAATAGTTTAGAATATGTTTTCCTAGATATCACTTTTTTTTATTTATATTTTTATTTCTGTTTTTTTTTTAATTTTCAATTTACAGGTTCGAAATTTTACGAGTTCCAAAGTTATGAGTTCAGAGGTTTATGTGTTTGGAAGTTTGAGGGTTTAGAAATTATAGACGGGTTCGGAAGTTTAGCGATTCAGAAGTTTATGAAATTTGTGGGTTCGGAAGGTTGTTTGTTCGAAACTTTATGGCTTCATGTTTATCGTATCAAAATTATTTATGAATACTCTTGTGAAGTTATTTTCCTTAATTTGCATACCAAACACCGAAAAATGCGTAAGATTACTACTTGTTTTCCAAGAAAATATTTTCCACGGAAAATATTCTCCGTTATACCAAACACACCTTTAATCCCTTTTCTTTTTCTCATATTTGCAAATCAAGAAGTTTACCTTTTATACACTAACAAAGTAAAAAAAATTACAACTGTTATACATGTTTTTTGGTCATAAAGATTACTAACTTCATTTCTACGTTGCAAAAGATACAGAGGGCAAGGT